ACCCTGTTGGAATTTTCGTTTGCAGCCATTTTAATTTAAAAATTGTGTGCAATTCAATTTTCAAGGGATCAACTTCACGTCGGCACCCCAATATTAAAAACTTCAAAATATTCTTTTTGCAAACGTTTGTCCGTCGATGCCCTGTTGGAATTTTCGTTTGCATCCCTTTTAATTTAAAAATTGTAAGCAACTCAAATCTTGAAGAGGGTGCCAACTTCACGTCGTTCCAATATTAAAGTATTCGAAATGTTCGATCTCAAAACTATTATTTGAAATATCGAAACAAATCCTTCCTAAACTTGATATAACATTTCAACACTATTCGTATGATAATTCGTGTATTTGAATTCCCCGGTCTAAATTTCTTAAATTTCTAAACATTCTCAAAAATAAATCAATCAAACTAACCAAATATCCATCTTGAATATGAAAACAACAAATCCTTCTTACAATTACTAAAGTAATTTACATTTTCTAGAGTAAACTTCGAATTTCTCTCTCGATCATGTCTCCGCTATCCTAATTAAGAAATATTCCGCGAAGAGTGCCTAATCCAATCTAATCGAACCTAGTCGAAGCTAATCGAAAGCTTGCAACCTTCGAGATCCGTCGGCAAGCGAGGCTAATTAGCGCCAGGGAATCGCAAATGGGCGGCGTTAAATACATTCAAGGGCGGTTGGCCTCGCCCACAGGCTACAGTGACACGGCATCGACCGTGAAACCAAACCGAGCCTGACCAGGGGAAAATAAACTGACCGCCGCTCGTTTCCATTTCCAGGTCTCTACCATGCAACCGTTCTCGACGGGCAGCACAATGGCGACCGAGACACCGACCAGCCTCCCACCGGAGAGGGTTAGCTCGCCCACGCCGTGCAAGAACTTGACCTTCTCCATCGCGAAGATCATGGAACCGGATAAAAGGCTGACCGAGCAGAGCAACCGTCAGACGACGTCGCCGCAGGCACCGCCGGCGACCACCGCCACGGGGATCCTCCAGCAGCCGCATAGCATCCCGTCGTTGACGTACGGAATCCGTCACCTGCACCTGGAATCGGCGTTCAAGAAGTACGTGCCGACCTTGAGGCATCAAAGCCTCTTGCAGCACTACCCTCTCCTCTACTACCACCCGAACCCGTTGCTGAGGGCCTTTCCAGCGCCTCCACCAGCGATACCAACGGTGCCACAGAGCTCGCCACCGCCAACAGCCATCCAAGAAGCCTCTTCAAGGGTAAGCCTGACCGCCACCTCTCCCGAAAGCCAACGAGGAAAGAAGAGCCCGGGTCCTCGTGGCAACGAGTTAAACGCCACCAACAAACAGAAGACCTTCACCTGCTCGGTATGCGGAAAGGTGTTCAACGCCCACTACAACCTGACCAGACACATGCCGGTGCACACCGGCGCCAGGCCGTTCGTCTGCAAGATCTGCGGGAAGGGATTCCGTCAGGCGAGCACCCTTTGCAGGCACAAGATCATTCACACGGCGGAGAAGCCTCATAAATGCGGCACATGCGGCAAAGCTTTCAACAGAAGCTCGACCTTGAACACCCACCGGCGCATCCACGCCAACTTCAAGCCTTTCATCTGCGAGGATTGCGGGAAAGGATTCCACCAGAAGGGAAACTACAAGAACCACAAGCTCACCCACAGCGGCGAAAAGGCGTACAAGTGCACCATATGCAACAAGGCGTTCCACCAGGTCTACAACCTGACGTTTCACATGCACACGCACAACGACAAGAAACCGTTCTCGTGCAAGATCTGCGGGAAGGGATTCTGCAGGAACTTCGACCTGAAGAAGCACATGAGGAAGCTCCACGACACGGGCTCGCCGGTGCTCAGCGGGTTGGCCACGTCCGCGCAGAGCCATAATCAACAATCCGGTTACGCGTCCGTTCACCACGGGCCCGGGGGCCACACGTTCGTCGCACCCTTCCTGGTTCACCCGCCTGGGTCCACTAGCTACCTCAGCAAAATGTTGGGACAGGAGTATTTGTCCGATTTGGAGTGGAAGCGAAAAGTCGACGAGTCGTCGTTCGAGAGCCGATGGAAAGATGTAGAGTAACACTTTTTTTATGGAAGGGTTATAGGTTCTTCTTCGGGGTAATTGGTTTTGGAAGTACGTGGGGCGGGTTGGTGTGAGATTCACGGCGACCGTTTCGCCGATAATGTTTACATCGACACCGATTCACCGATGCGTTCAATTCATCGACAATGTTTACACACCGGCATTTGTCTATGTTGTATACATACTGATTTTCGCAAGTATACCATAAAAATTTCTTATTATCGCGTGTTAAGGTCGATTCAGACTGTACGACACGGACCGGCAACGACACGTACCGGCACCGACACGATAAAACATTAAACCACGCGTTTTAATGGAACTATTCACACTTAACAGACACCGACCTGAACGTTCCGTCAACGGGACTAGCGTGAATAGTTCCATTAAAGGTCTATTTGCACATATCCGTAACGTGTCAGTTCCGTATCCGTACCGTATCAATGACGTCACGGAGCGGTGTCGGACGTGTGTGATCGTGCTCGTTCAAAAACAACAGAAGAATCACTGACACTGATGGAACATTACGGAACCGAACGGATACAGAACTGACACGTTACGCATATATGTAAATAGACCTTTAAACCCGTGTTTTAATGTTTTGTCGTGTCGGTACCGGTACGTGTCGTTGCCGGTCCGTGTCGTATAGTCTGAATCCACCTTTATACGTTACACGCGCTTGTATCGTGCACGATACAATCATGATCTTTATTCGTGCAGTAAAAAACGAGGTTCAGGGTGTGCCCCTTAGCTTACATATAATTTTGAGACGTATGCTTTTAAAGTTTGTATGGAAGGTTTTCCAGCTGAAAGCAGCATAGACAAAAGTCAATGTCGATGTAAACATTGACGGCGAATTGAACGTCTCGGCGAAACGGTGTCGATATAAACATTGTCGACGAAACGATTGTCAGTGAACCGACACCAACCCACGTGGGCCACGTCTATGCGAAATTAGGACACGACCGGAAAGGATCACGGATTTTCTTGAAACTTTGTACACTTTTAGTAGTCCATTAGTGCCGTGTACACTTAAAATTGATTACCCCGAAAAAGAAATCTACTTGTACAAAAAAGTGTCATTGTACATTCTCGACATATTTCTTTAAATTAAAATAAATAGCCTTATATGTGTTTCATATACAGGGTGCCAATGAAAGATACTCAGAAATCGGACAGGTTTTTCTCGCACTCGAGGAAAATAAGAAATATCGTCCAATCAGTACTGCTTTTAAGAATCGGTGAAAAATATTCAAACATTTCCACGTTATATTGGTCGAATGATAACTCACGCGCGAGAAGCGTCACGTTCGTCGTTTTTTTTAAATACGGAAGCTCGATCGTCGGATCTGTCGGCGGAAGAATTTCAGCAAACAACGACGACGGGATATTCTTAATTTGGCAATCAACCGTGCGACAGAGGAAAACACCGTGCAAACAGATAATCGAATTAGACGACAGAACGCGTCGCGGACAATTCCGCCCCCGCGACAATGATATTTCAACCGAGCCGAGCAGTTACGAGGTGCAAAACACCGAGCGTTGCATGCATATCGGAGAACGCAAATAATCGGTCGTAGCATCAGCGAAATAAACCGCGTCCGGGAGTTAAATCAACACCCGAGCAGTTAGCGGACGTATTGGCTCGATCGTTATTGGAAACCGTTCCCCGTGATATCGGCTTAATCGTCGCATGAAAGCTCAATCGATGGTGTCCTGCGAGACGATTACTTATTTGTGTAAATACATGTAAATATTTGTACCTGCTGCAGAGACGCGTCGCGTCGCGCAACTGTTAACCATCGATGGAAACAAGCGAAACGGAAATTGATGGATGCGAGGGGTCGTGGTACAGGGTGCGACGCAAGACCAACCTGGATAACTTTTGAAGGAACTAGCGAAATTTGTTTCTACGAGCTTTTCTGCGTGTAAAAATTTGTGTAAAATTATTTAGACTCCTAGAATTTTATGTTTTAGTAACACACTCTGATGCACTCTGTATACTCGACTTTATATTTTAAACGACAACCCGAGAAGATTGTGGATTTTTTACCAGAAAACAAAATCCTGATGTCCGTTTTTAAAACTCATTTGTTTAATAAAGGAAGAGCTGAACACCCTGGCGATGACAATGACGAGAACGGTACACAGAAGCGACTCTTACCGCGACGCGTCGAACGCATATCTATCTATTCTTTAGGCGAAATGTATAAATCGGTGTGATAGTAGCTTTAAGCCGCGCGTAGATAGCGAACGAAATGTTGGTCATTATCATTACCATTGTAATTATTCTAGTTACATCGCGCGATCGTCTCAGAGCTTTGCAATAGAAGTCGTTCGTCACTATTCTTCGTTTTCGCGTGTATGTCTTTGTGCGGTTTGACAGCGATGGGAGTGATTTGGTAGATTACGAAAATATTGTACACCATTTATAAGAACATTTTTATTTATCCCTCGACACGATTTTTAAATTGTGTGGATAGACAGGTTGCAATGAACACAATGGAAAATAAAAGGTAAAAATGTGTAGCCTGAAAGAGGTACGTGTAAATCCGATCCAACAAAATTAAACTACTATTTACTTCCCATTCGTTAATTCCAAATATATTAAATATTTTACTTGAAAAGAAAAAAAATGTTTGCTTGATACTTATACGTTTCTCTTATTTATCGTACGTCCTACCATAATTGTTTCGCTATCATCGATGTCTAACCGTGTCACTCCCACATGATAATAACTCATTTGCTACAGAATTCCTCGACAAGAGGAGTAAACATTTCATGGTTTGGCTGCACTGATGACGTTATTTCCGATGTACAGTTAGATATATAAGAAAAAGCGCGAAGAATAAAATCGTCCCCCGAAGAAGTTAATTTTCGTTGAAAATTTCCAAGCGTGCGATTCGTTGCTCGAGTAACATTTGGTTATTCGCGTAACGTTCGTCGTTACTTTTTTACGGCGAGTAATTCCTCGTGGAAAGCTCGTCTCGACTCGTGTTTCACGTTTCTACCACGCAGATTAGGTAAGCTGCAGGCAACGACGGCGAATTAATTAAGCATGATTAACGGCGAAAATAAAGAAAAGTTATATATGTAGATAATCGGTAGAGTAGACGAAAATGCATATGTATGTGTCCCCTGTAGTAAATATGAGTCAATCCAATGCAATAAAATCATCGATACCAATGAATCGCCTGACGTTCCGTTCAAGAACCTCGTTCCCGCGCCAGTCATCCCTTCGAACCACTAAAAGCGCTATGGTCGAAGTAGGCCACTTCGCAAGCTGGCCTAGCTAGACTATGGCTGGCACAGGCTACCATAAACGTCACCGGAGTGCCATAACAGAGACCAATTTCAGTGTTGACCTGAGTCTAACTTAGCTCAACCTAGATACGTCACAGCTTGTTAGGTCTGAATTAGATATTCTGATATAATTTCACGTTCTTTTTTACGATGGTACTTTTATGATGAATTTTATGGTAAAACGAAGGTAACTTTTTTTTTGTAGTGAATTTTATTTTGTCGAGAAATAATTCTGACCTAACTTCGCGTTTCTTTTTTATCACGATGCTGAATTTTATGGTAAATTTACGAATGTAATTTTTATTCGTAGTGAATTTTATTTTGTCGAGAAATAATTCTGACCTAACTTCGCGTTTCTTTTTTATTACGATGCTGAATTTTATGGTAAATTTACAAAGGTACATTTTATGCCTCCATGGTAAATTTTAATAAATCGAAAAATAGACTAATTCTGACCCAACTTCGCGTTTCTTTATTATGGTGAAGGTAAATTTTATGTCTCCATAGTAAATTTTATTTAGTCGAAAAATAGACTGGTCTGATTACCTACGAAAATTTAATGTTCCTAAATATGAATTTATTTTTAACTGTGATTATAATGCGAACTTGACTTTTAATATTTTGTTACGTTATTGCGTATTGTTTGCATCTTCGTAATTTCTTGCACATTCAAATTCTTGCGCATTTAATATAAATGCATAGAAACTCGTAGTCTGCTGATAATAAAGAAGAGCAATGATTTTTTTAACGAATGACATGCTTCGACGTGCAGGTTTGAAACTTCTCATTTAGATACAAATTTACAATAATTAGGAAAGATGTGTTTGATAAAAATTCAACTCTGAATCATGAAATTAAGTGATTTTCTAATATTAATTCTTTTCCTTTATTCTCGAAGGTCCAAATTATAATAAATTCTAAAAATATTATGTTGAATAGATCGTGGTAAAATACGAAAAATTGGGAATTTGTTAGTATTTTGAGTTGAATGTGTATATTGTCGCGTCGTTTTCGCTAAGGAAAATGTTGTTTCAAATCACCCCCCGAACCACCCTTTCAAGGACCTCTAACATTTCTGAAACACCCTGTATATCACATTGCTAATATTATATCAAATTACTAGGATCAATTTTAAATGATTCGAACTAGTCTCTCAACCCCTTGACCCACGCGTTATCTCCAAATTTCTCGGACCATGGCAAATAGAAAGGTAAGAAGTTGAACAAAGTATTCTTCGCGGACCAAATTTCTTACCGATACCAAAACCCGCTAAAAAAAAAAAACCTCCTCCATCTCTGTCCGCAACCCGTGTTATCGATTGCCGGGAAAAAGCGACTCGGTCCCCGGGGTGTAATGTACGTAACGAGGGTAGGAGCGTCCTAATCTCTCAGCTTCATCCCCGATCAGCGAGCCATCGTCGAAAGAACCGACCCTTAAGCACATCGTGCTCTCCACGATCGGTTCTTTCGGCGACGAGACGCAGACAGGCCGAGGAAAAATGTAGAGAAGCCGTCGTCGGTGGCATCATCGAAACGCGAGCGCCGCGAAAAAGAGACAACGAGGGTGGCGCGGATCAGCTGCCATTAGACGCGATGCGATCTCTGGTTGGAAGCGAGGTGACGAGCCCTCGTGGGTCGAAGTGTCGATGGACGGAAGCGAGACGGGGCCGGAAAGTTAGTCAAAGGTGGAAAAAGAGACGGGATCGATAGCCCAGGGGTGGGTGGTCGGAGCATCGAGGGTCCGGAGGATACCAATCGGGGGGGGGGGGGGAGGTGTGGACGGGGCCGGGGGGGAAACAGAGGACGACGTGCTTCTGTTCCGATTTGCACGGGAGATACCGCGCCCGGCCTTCTGATGTATCTGCAGAATCTGTCCTCTATCCATTAAATCGGGACTCATCCGCCATCGCGCACCCCGGACCGTCCCTTATCAAATGCTGGTCGTTACAGTGCTCCGGCTCTATAGCGCCGCTGCCTCGGCATACGTGTCAACAAGGAATTTCGTGTTTCCGGGGCTCGGTATTGTACCGGTAAATTGGTACGCGAGAACTTGCGCGGTACCGAACCACGGTGGTCTCGAAAGGGCCACCGACGTTGGCGAAATTAATTTGCTGGGTCGGTCGAAGAACTACGATTTTTATTTTGTTTTGATATGTTCGTGTTGCGTTCCATTTCAGAGGATAGAATTTGTGTGAATTTTCCTGTTGACGTGTACTGTTATATTAGGTTGGTATCGATATTTTGGTTTTTGTATAAATTGATGGTAAATCTTATTTTGGAATAGATATTTTTTTCTTATGTGCTCGTACTCAGAATACAGATTTTGTTTTGTATTTCTGTGTTATTTGCTTCAATTACATTGTTTCGTGGCCATTTTCCTAGTAACGTGAATTATTATATTATATATGCAGGAAAATGTCATTAATATGTATTAATAGTAACATTTCATTTTGAAGCGTAGGTTTTGTTCAATATTTCTGTTTCATTCGCTACATTTTTACTGATAACTTGCGTCCATTCTCTTATCAACATGTTATATCAGTTTAATAGCAAAATATCAGTTTCTATACTATTTGGTTCCGATGCTACTTTTACTATAAATGTGATTTTCATGTATTTACATTGTATTCCATTCTAAAAGGCAGTTATACCGATGAAAACTAAGTTAAATACAATGTAAGAAGACAGAAAATTCAATAACGTAATAATATATTGTAACGTGCTCGCAAATGGCTAACAAACTCATGTAACATTAGATAAAATAAAAAATTACAAATACGTTTTGAAATATTACCGTTGTATGTAATGTACAAAATAAAACGATTGTATTATATATATTGTACATATATATTATATATATACGGTTCATATACATTATACATATATTGTATATATATATTGTACATATATTGTACATATATATTATACATATATTGTTCATATATATTATACATATACTGTTCATATACATTATACATATATTGTACATATATATTATACATATATTGTTCATATATATTATACATATATTGTACATATATATTATACATATATTGTACGTATATATAATACATATATATTATACATATATATTATACATATATTATACATATATATATTATACATGTATTGTACATATATATTATACATATATTGTACGTATATATTATACATATATTGTACATATATATTATACATATATATATTATACATGTATTGTACATATATATTATACATATATATTATACATATATAATACATATATATTATACATATATATTATACATATATTATACATATATATATTATACATGTATTGTACATATATATTATACATATATTACTGAATTTGTGCAAGCATCTACTCATTACGTAACCACGTGATATCTAAAGGTACTTATTATCGAACATCTTGCGAGAGCTCGCGCCCCTTTTGTCGCGAGGAACCCCCTACAAAAGCCGCAGGAAGTCCTTCGTTACCTTTCACGAAAGGTGTAAAAGAGTCTCTCCGATCAGCGGGGGTTGTATACAAACAAGTATTTAGCGGCGTTTAATGGGAATTATCCCAGCCCCGAGATGGGACAATTAGGGGAGGATTATTAACACCTGGAGTCGGCATCACGCTGTTCCTTGAGTCGTTGCTACCCCCCCGAGCTTCCGAGTCTCTCGCAAACTTTCTTCACGTCGACAGG